AGTATTTTAAACTGTATAAAAAAAATTGAAATCAATTGTGAAAATCCATTCCTTATATAGGACGTTCCCTCCTGTTTAGTTAAAATCCAATCATTGGCTATTGAAATCTACCAATTAAAATAATTAAAATCTAGGGATAGGGGGTTCAATACGAATGTTACACGCTAATACTAAGATACACCAATCCCCTGAAATTCATAAAATTCAACGTTTTTACTTTGTAAACTTTTCAAGTAAAATAAATACACGTTTTGATCCAAAAAATATTTGCTCCTTGAGGTAAAAGAGAAGTAGTGGTCAAGTTCTTTTTACGTTTAAGGTTTTGTTTATTTTTTTTTCAAAAAAAAAATTTTTTTATTTAAGCCTCATTTTAATTAAACATTATGTTTTTTTGCTAACACCTTTTTAAATGATGTGTTGGACTTCAAGTGTTGCAACAACAAAGCTACTGTGTGCACCAAGTCTGCCCAAACACAAGAATTAATTAGGTTTTGATGATAGATTTGTTCTTTTTATTACATTATGATTATTTACTGATCTAAAATAGAAGGAAGGTTTAATTGAGCAGAAATAAAGATCTTTGAATAATATAATTAGAATTGTTAGTTTATTTCACTTTATACATTCACTTAAAATAATACAGATTTCTAACATTCTATTTAAAATGAATCTATGGTTGAATTATTGTTACGCGAGGTATTATCTATACTCCTATTGTATATTAATGATAATTTTTATTGTATATAATAATAACATTGTGTTAATATTTATTTGTCTTATTCAAAAAATAGATCTAGAATTATTGTTATGTGACCATCAAAAAAAAAATCGACATCAATTAACTGATGATAGTATGGTTGGCTCGGTCTAAAGACCTCCCATTGCTGCGCCATACGGAAAACATAGGGCTTCACATGATTTTAGTTTTCTTACTGCCAAATTTAGATACGATAGTCAAGGGCTAGTTTAACTTTGGTAATATTTTTCCTAAATTTAGAAATGATCAGTGGACAAATTCCTCGCGAGCATAGTAAAGTACATGTTTTAAAAAAGAATAGAACTCTACAACAAATAATTTTTGAGAAAATCTCTCTATTAAATTAAATCTAAAGGCATATTATATCAACTAATAGAGCTATTTTTTTAAAAGGTAGGGCAGAAAGTGACTTCTATACTTTTAAAATTTGCCCAAATTTTAGGAGGTCTTTAGACCGAGCCAACTATAGGTAATGATCTACTGCTATGAATGATAATTCTTATTGTATATTACCAAATGAATGTAGAAATTATTTTTAGAAAAAGTTAAAGGCAAAAGTAAACTCAAATTTCAAGTAAAATTTTATTAAAATTATTGACTATACATGAAGTTGAAACTATTTGCAGGTCTGGTTGAAATAGGGTCAAAATAAGGTCGAAACTGATTTTTACTATGTGGTTGCCTCAAGTTGAAACATTTTGACTTTGGGTTTTAATTTCGACTTCATGTATATTATTGACAATGATGATGATGATACTTTCAATGGAATAAAAAGAAAAAAAGTAATATATAGAATTATGGAACCAATTACCAAGGCACTGAGAAACACATATTTGATTTCAAAGTTAAACATAATGAAACTGGTTAAAATGGTCGTTTTATGTGTATAGTAATTGTGATAATTGTATAAGTTGATGGTGACTTATATGGAACTGACAAAGATTATGATTAAAGAAAAGAATGATTATTGATAATGGGTGATGATATTAGCAAGATAATTATTTAGAAGAAAATAAAAAAATAATGTAAATTTGTATTATTTAAATATATAACTATTATTATCATTACATAAAAAAAACACATATATTATTTCAATTAGCTTGCAAATATTTTCAATATAATGATAATCTATAGCCATAAACAATACTTCTAACCTCCTCATCTCCATAATCATTTTTAAACATCGGATTCATCTTTTCCTGGAATATTTTTTCAACTTTAAAATTTTCCTCTTCAGTTGCAATTTTGAAAAAGTTTAAATCTTGTTTTATAAAGTGCGGTCTATGATGTGTAAAAAACACCAATATTTGTCCATTGCTAGGTTCCAAACATTCTTTACATGATTTTAATAATGATTTGTGTTCTGAATGATTTGCCAACAAATCTGATAATAATATTAGATCATATTTTCTTTTATTATTAATGGAATTTGTGGAATTAATGTAATTTAGTAGTGGGTTTGTGTCTCTGCCCCAAATGTAGCCCTAGAAAATTAATTATATTATGTAGGTTGATGATTGGGCCTGTTTAGGTAATTTAATTTGTTAGGTGCAAATTAACTTACCGAGATTATTACATTGTCAGGAAGTTCTACAGATTTTTTATCGCCTTGTGTTTTCTTAACACCAAGATTTGCTATGGCATTATATTTAATATTCTCAATTAACTCATCATCAGGATAATCTGTAATTACAACCTTCTCACCAACGTACAAATAATTAGTTAATTATGATACTATAAATGATGCAATAAATCAAATCCAAATAATAAAATAATTACAAACTTTTTTTGCTTCATTAATAGCACAAATTAATGATGCTAATCCACCACCAGCTCCAAATTCCAACACAAATTTATCTTTGACCAAATTTTTACTGTTGCTATCCAAATAATTTGATAATACTTTACTTGCATTCCATAAATAATGACCCCATAATGGATGGGATCCTATTGTACGAATTGTCAATGATTTTATTATAATTGGTTTCTCATCATCTTCATCTATAATTATAATAAAATCTATATGATGTATATTATTTATTTATTAAAATCTAATATTTTTTTTTTTTTGGATTTACTTGGTTCTTTTCCAATACAGTTCTCAAGCCTGTTAAAAATGTGAAAATTTGGTTTGGGTTCAGGTGGTAAATAGTTTTCTGGATCCTATATATGTATATATATATATATATATTAATAGATGATCGATTCATTAAAAATTTGAAAAATTTATAACAACCTTGAAAATTAAAAAATCTTGATCAAATTCTAAAGACATTTTTTTTTAGATTTCAAAAGATCTACAATAAAATTTGTATATAGGGAAAACTTTTGTGTGTAACTCAAAATTTTCATGATCAAAGGGGCCGCCGACCTCTATAAATCTAGTATGCTTGGATCTCGCAAACAGGGTCTAATATTTTCACCAATTATAATTTATATGTTATAGATTAATATTAAAAAAAATACAAATTTGGTCAGAGGACCTTGGAGGTTTGTTTTACTGGGGGGGGTCTCATTAATATTTTCGAGAACTGCAAAAAATAAACCGCGGGTTTGTTTCTGAAAATGATGGTGCTCAGGTTACATGTATTTGTGGTAATAAAATAAAATTAAAACGCCCTTTTGACGAAGATTATATCATCGGCATGTAGTAGGAAATGGGTCTAAAAGAAAAAAACTACCCAAGGAATTACTAATTCTGTCATCAAAAAAATTTTTTGTGGTAATAAGCAAACGAAATGAAGTCATTGTCAAATTTATTGAAACTTTAACACAAAATGAATATTATGATGATGACTCAAATCAAACAAAAGCTTTTAAAAGAGCAATTGCAGTTGATGCAATATATGGCTCACAATATAATAAATATGTATCTGAAATTAGCTTGCTTGCATCTTCCATAAAATATTCTTTAGCACATTCAAAAAAAATCATTAACATAGATAATTATATCACTAGTGGAGGGAGTTATTCTCGATTCCTAAAGTGGTTGGATGAGTTATCAAAAGATCAAGAGCCTCTACCTGAAGGACTTCTATTTCTTGCTTTTGACAATGAGCAAAAAGGACAAAAAAATTATCTTGACCGTGGATTTAATACTGTAATCTACCATATAGTTACTAGTTTTGTAGCATTTAATATGGATTCAAAAAATATGTCACAACATGAATATGATCCTTGGTTGCATAAATCTCTCTCACAATTACAGTACAAAGAACTTTTTGATCTTACACCTCAAATGCAACAGGAATTTGACAATCAACTTCATCTTTATCTTAATGAGATTATTAATAAGTTAAATGAAGAAAAATCACAACTGACCAACAATATTGATAACCTTATAGAAAATACCTCAAATATCAGTAGTAGTAAATATTGTCTAAACTGTAATGAGAAAAATATTGAAAACAGAAAAAAAAATTGTCCAAAATGTTATTCGCCTTTGCCAACTTTAACTGAATTACAAAAAAATTTCAAATCTATAGTTGAAGAAAAAAATTTATCAGACAAATCAATGAAAGAAATTATCTTTAAACCATATAATCCTGAAAATGAATCTAAAATTGCTTCCTTACCATGAATAAGTTATACACAAAATTTGATTCCTGATCAAGATGTTCAGACCCCTGATATTTATGTTCCTGATCCATTAAATATTAATCCTAATTCTATAGTAAATGTTGAGAAGATTCTTAAACATATAGAAAAAATATCAGGAATTAAGGATGGAGTGCGTAAATGGATATCTGTAACATGTGATGGAATTCCTTATCATCATGCATGTAAAATTAAGGAGAAATTTCCTTGGTTGGTTCTTATACCTGGCCAACTACATGAAGAAATGAATATGCTTCGTGCATATGTTGAATTAAATTGGTATTTATATTTATCATAACAAAAATTTTTTAATAAGTTCACATATAACTAATTTTAAATATACTTACTATTTAATTAGGGAAATTGATATTAAACAATTTGCAATAGGCCAAGGATATAGATCTGATAAGCAACTATCTTTTTTTAAAAAATGTGGCGACCATCATAAAGCATGGGATTCCATATGTAATATATATCGTGAAGCAATGGCTCTAGAACTTGTATGGCCATATGTAAAAACCCATTCAAATTTATCAGTTCATAATTACTTAGCTTGGGCTAAAAAACAAGAAGATCCTATTT